AATTCTTTTACGGCAGTACATTTGGAAGAACACTCTTTTAACACGTTCTGGTTGTAATCATCTGCTCTGAAACTTGTAAACAACTTAGTTAGAATTTATTTCTAGAAAGGGCATAACGAAAAAGCCGCCTTTCTCTTCGATTTCACCTTATTTTTACTGTAACACTCGGACGTACAAGCAGTCACACCCCCAGCGTGGTACAAAGCGGGGTGGATGGAACCCCTCCACTGGGTTTTCGTTCTGTTAAGATAAAGCGCAAAAAATTATTGATTAGATAGCCCCGAAGGTTGCTTATGACGTCATATGACGTTAAATGACGTCATTGATCCGCCATCTTAGATCCGCTATCTTGGATTTTACTATAATCCAAAAGAGTCAAGAAATAACGGAAATTAGTACAAAATCAAGCCAGGATGCTTATGAAATGTAAAAATTCGTGAATCTCTAAAATTTGATGAAGAAAACTAGAAAAGATAAATAATCACGTCAAAACAAGTTGAGTTTTGGCCAGACCTACATGAGATTTGCGGCTGCCACAGCAGCGTCACAAATCATGGACACACAATTGTATCTCAAAATTTCCGCGGAGGATGAATGAACAATTTTTGAAAGTTTCAGTTCATTAACTAGAGTAAATCCTCTTTTCAAAACATTGGAATAATCTTATTGAGAGTGGTAATTTTGGAAATTCAAGATCTAGCTTTCCGCAAAATCTTGAATTTTCAAGATTTTGTAACTCATGCAGCGTATGACAACTCACTGATGTAACTCACGAGGAATAACTCGCCAAATGGGCGGTCCCCATCTAAATTTATTTGTATGATCGTATGGTTTCAATGAGTTGTAGTGGTCTCCTTTTGCAAAGTAAGCCATGATTGAAATAATATCAGTATTTAAATTGCTGAAAATGATATGATTTTGTTCCCTGTATTTCTTAATCAGAATTCCCCTAACCTCCTGCATGTGGACTCCTATGAGCGATTTTCAAAACCTTGATTTATAACCATTTATAGCCGAATCAGCACACTGCCTGCACGTTATTGATTAAAAAAGACTAAATATATATGAAAGACATGCTTTTGTGTTTTTTTGTGTTTTTTTTTTCTTAATAATTAGGTTTTAGGCGATGAATCCAGAATCCAGCCGAGGAGAACTGGGAACTATACATTTCTGCGATCCGCCATCTTGCTGTGTGTTCAGCTGTGGCAAGTATGGCCCGGTCCAAACGCCGCTCCACTCCTGTGCCGAACCAAACTTGATTAAGTTCGACTTTAGGGCGACTC